ACAAATTTAACGTTTGTGCCGCAGGCAGTATGTCTGAGTCTTTTGGTCCTTCACTGGCGACTCACTACAAAAGCAACACGCCACAGTTTTGTTGATGAACAGTCCCCTTCTCGTATCAGAAATTTGTAAGCACGTGTAGGATCAATTACTGCTTCAAATTGGTGAGCGACCAGGCATGTTGCATTGTGACAATATGCTCTCAGGTGGACGCGGAATCTGTCGCCGGCCGGCAACTGCCTACAGAGTCTGCGGCTTTCCGTTGGATGCATGTATGGCTTCCTGCTATACTGCTGAGTTGTTTATTATTCCATTACTACAAGCCCCTTCTTCGTGCATACGAAAAGAAGAGAAGTACCTCAAGAAATGATCCTTGTTGTCAATGGGACACCCCAGTTCCCTCACTGTCCGTTCCTGCAGATGCGGATACTCACTTAGATCACCATACGGCTGCAGTTTTATATGAAGAACTAGATTCGCACCGTACTTCGGACCAGTGACAGTCGGTAACTCGTATCAGCAAACCCTAACAAATGTGAGGGTCATAAACTCGGGCAAGCACGCCCTGATAGACGTTATTTATCTTGTCCTATACCAACGTTAGGATGGTTTAGAAAAAGAAAAGTGCGGCGATTCCTTGATCCCCTATTTGAAGAAGGAAAGACGCCCATTTTAAACTCAAAATAACAGCAACTTTTTTATAAAACATGTAGTTTTGCAGAGTGACCTTTCAGTGGCATTTTAAAAAATGTCTTGTCTGATCATGACCAATATTTCTTTAGTTTGCCTTACAAAATCGCCGAAGTGTCAACATTTTCCACCCCTGCATGAAAAATATCTTGCAGGCCGTGTATTTCTGTTATTCAGCTTCAGCACACGCTGGTGAAGCTGCTAGCAAGGTACGTAAGCCATTGACGGAAAATAGAAGTATGCGTGGAGGAACGCTTTCTTCAGAGGCAATTGCAGCCGTCAACCTATTAAAATTTCATCAAAGGGAATGACGATCGTGGTCAACTGTAGTTGCACAGTTGGCGCTAGTAGTTGGGATTAACGTGCTTTTCGTTTAAAGCTGAAAAGGAGCAAGCAGAGATATTTACGTTAATATTCCCGCAAAATGCACCATTCACTTGCTTGTTGCAACACTTTCGAAGCTATTTGAACAACGTAGTCGTGTGCATAAATAGCTTGAGGTATAAGCTTTTTTTTAAATGTATTAAATGCCAGATAAGCTCCTCAAAAGGATACTATGATCATTACGTGACCCACATTACAAAGCGAGTGGCAATACAGTAAGGAGCTGCCTTTTCATTGAATCAGTCGATTCCTTATGCTCTTGACTAAGTGCAAAAGGAAAGACAACTCCACGTCCTTCAGAGAAGCCTGCTTCTAGCGCTGTTATGTTACCATTCACCTAAGAGACGAGCGGTAGGAGGCAATGCACATTTCTTGAGCAGGATAGAGCTCAAAGAAGCGAAGAGCTAAGAGGTAAAAAGCAACACACCACAAGGGTAGACGTGACAAGCTGAGAGGCAACTTGAAAGCCAGAAACCCTGTAAAGCTAAATGCAAACAGCTCAACTCGGCTGAGGACAATGGGTAGAAAACAACGGGAGAGGCAGAAAAGGGCAGCATACTGGCGAATATCACAGTGAAGGGCTTACTTGCAGGCATGGCCCCACACATTACATCAGTTTCTATAGACATTGCCGTTTACACCGGGACGACTGCACGCCGTCACGAAGCCCGAGCCTCGCTGGGCAAAACCCACGATTGTACCGCCATGTGAATAGTTGGAGTGCGTGATCAGGATAAATGCCCAGGACGGGTAGAAAGTACCTCAGTTGATCCTCATCTAAAAGCGGTCGGTCTGCCGCCAAACTGGACAAGCAAATACATCTACACTTAGTAACTTCAGGGGCACTGCAGAGCGAAGTGTGATCGGAGTACACAAGGCCACCTTAGAACTCTAAAATGAGAAGCAAGCAAAAACAGACGGCATTTGCCAGTGGTTCACTGCCTGGCCACTTCGACCTGACGGTGAGAGTGCAGCCTACAAAAAGGCCGCACTGCCTAAATTGCATTGCAGCCAAAGTCCCAAAAGCCAGCAACCGAAAATCGAGCATTATGAATAATTCCCTTCGTTTTTCTGTACATTATTTATTCATTTTCATGTTTCAAGCACTGTGCCAAACTTGCCAATCATGTGGCAGCAATAGAGGAAATTGGCTCCGAAATTACCTTGTTGGGCGTGAACTGCTGATCTTAAATCGAAGCAAAAGCAAGACGTCTCAAAGTTTTTCATTATGGGAAGCCAGTAGACAACGGCAAGGCGCCAGCTAAAAAGCAAAGCCCCCAGTGGCCCGTCCGCTACACGCCACGCCTTTTGAGAGGTGCGACTACCTTCTAAGGGGAGTCCCAGTAGCATATCTGTATGCAAATTTCTGAAAATATAAGTCTATCTAAACAAAGTGCCCACTGATATCACTGAAAATAGTGCGCACAGAATGATCAGTCACAAAGTGGAAACAGCTGCACTATCCATTTGGGAATTTCTAATTGGGCGACGCAGTCCAAGCCAATGAGAGCAGTTGCTGCAATCGCTGGAGATTTATACTGTCGAGCGCCTGTTCCGCTGGAGCAGCGGCTGAACTACTCAGATTGTTGTCAACGTTTACTGGGAGAAGCAGAATCGGAACGGAAAGCACCCAACTCGGAGGAGAACGCAAGATTCTTAAAGTTATAGACTTAGTGCAGCGGGACAGCACAGGTGGGTTTGGTGACAAGTATAACACGTGGACAACTCCACGCTCTTCATTGACGCTTTTCCATCAAATCGAGGTGACAAAGATTTGTTTATCTCCCTTCAGAAGGTAAGCAAGGAGTACGAAGCTATAACATACGGACTGCAGGGAAGCGACACAAAACGCCAGAACTGTGTTTTCGTCAGTCAACCTTTTCGCTCGAAGCAGTCTGTAGAGTTTGGCTTAAAATACTTTTGCCTGAATTTCTGCCAGTGGAGCATATAAATATACATATAAATATATAGTATATGGAAAAAAGTGCTGCATGCGTCAAAACGGTCGCTATGGAATCCCTGAGAGCGGTTTGTTAATCACGCATTGGCTGGAGTAGCAGGAGCACTGCCACAAAACGGCCGTTCTTGAGCGTCCATCGGGAAAAAACTAAAGCTGAACATTTAATCTTTTATGTACATGGTTAGCGATTGATCAGTAACGCAGAGAAGTTCCGAAGCTCACTACCTCGACTGTAAAAAATGCCAGCATAGATGTATTCATTGTGACCGGTAAAAATTTCAAATAACTAGAGACTACAACACCGCTTTCATACACGTGTTGCTGGTTTTCTTTGGTCTGAGGCTTCAACTGGCTCCGACCAATCGGATTATCTGCTGGAACAGCTTCCGGAGGACGGCATGTGTCTGAGACTTTCAGGCTCAACTGATCAGGATCATCCTCATTTTTGTTCTTTCTTACACAGAGACATGTCCCCTGTAGGATAGGTCTCCAACTTTATTTCGCCATGCTGCTGGCGACGGCGGCGGCATCCCAGGCAGCCAGGCAGCCCACGCAGAGACTGACCCGTAGTAATGGACTCCGAATCTCCCCACGTAGACCTGCCAGCCCGCCTCTTACTTATGAGCAACGCGTAAAAGCATGCTTTCTCCAAGTTAGTCGGACAACGTTTACAATAAGGTGCCCAGTCACCTGCATGTGCCAAGCTTTTTGAATCGCCCACCTGCGGCTTTCCGCAAAGAAAGGTGGTCGAGTTATCCTCACGAGCAACCGTAGCACCAAACGACATCGACAGCCCATGAATACTTGTAACCAGCTTTTGCAAGCCCTGTTTCTTGAACATTCCCAGGAGAGAGCCGTACATGGTGTATTGTAGACCACTCGTTCTTCAGCTCAGGCGCTGTTAAGTTTGCGTCACAGCTTCGGCCGTATCCTAGGAGCTTTTTCGGTCCATTGAACCACTCAGGCTGAGTATCGTCTTCATATTCTTCTCTGTTTAAGTAAAGGAAGTCTGCAGCGTCGTTGTATCGTGGCACTCATTTTTGGACGATTCGTATGCAGACGAGCTTCCTGCCTAGGGCGTTGCAGTGGCGGCCGACTGGTATATAGAGCCCAGTGGAGGCTCGCCATTAACCAAAGCACCCAAGTATCGTAGCGTCCGTCACTATAACGTGCCTTGCCTAAACCCGGTTTTATTTGCATTTGAAGTCCCTCGTATCCTTTATCACGCAAGTGTCTGCATCATGATTACTTTCCGATGTTGGCTACTACGCTGGCACGACAATGACGACTCAGTTGTTCAAAACTCAGCAAGCCGACGTTCATGTCGATTAGCATAAATGCATATGCTCTGGTATAGCTTGTGGTCTTAAGAACGATTGGAAAGGGGAGACCTGGGCACAGCCTGGAAAAGGCAAGAGAATCGGGTCTTCGGCTGTATCTGCTCGTGAGCACTTTCAGATGCAGGCTGAAACATACGTAGTACGGCCGTAAGGGGGAGCTCAGTACTGCATTTTGGGGCTGCTCCGGGAAATTTTAATTCTCCTCTCCTCTTGCCTTCTTATGTAATATAGTTATAAGAATCCAGGGATGTCGGCAGTTACACACCGAGCAAATTTTAGACATGCACCTCCGTAACGGCCAAGTGATAGGTGCACCAAAAATAACATCGACAAGAATGTCAGATGTGAATGAGTCCAGTCGATTCAGCCAACACAGGAGCCTCACCTCCCCTTGTGTTGCTCTTCAGCAACATAGAGCCACCTCAGCTGGCAGTCCATGTAGGGCGAATGACAGAGATACTCCAGCTCGAGTAACGGGCTAGGTATATGGCAAGGTTGAGGTGAGGCTTCGAGCGACTATAGGCCTACCTTTTGCATGCCACTGCCTTGCGCCTGCCTCCGGTTGCGGGGCCGCAAATTCTCCGAAAGCGGGGCGATAATATGGAACCCTTCTTAACGCTTGTGGAGCAATGATTCAAGAAGATGGACCTGCCACAAGGAAGCTGAGGTGAGAACCTGAGGTGACGAACTAGGAGAATACCTCGACAAGGACTCTCTACGACACTGGCTGCACCTAAAGCAACCAGGTGTGAACAAGACTAATTGGCCTCTCCTAACAGCGGAATAAATACAAAGCTTTTGCGGGACAGGCCGAACTACCTCTATCCAGCAAATGGCCGCCAATAAATGGATTAGAAATCAACGGACATATTCAGCTAATTTCGGGCGGGTCGTGTCCATTGTCAGCAGAGAACTTTGTAGGCTGCTTCTTGACTAGCTAGAGATGCTGCCTCGAAACCGCATTGCATGGCTTGAAAACTGGTTTTCCTCTCGACGCTGCAATCAGCAACCACGCCCTTCCACCCACCTTCCGTGCAGGCACCCAAAAACAGCTAGACCCTGAGCCCAAACGTTTTATCTGCCGAAGCGGATCATCACTTACAGTAGTGCAACACAACAGCGCACACAAAAGAACTCCCACCCAACCACACCCAAATACACCAAGCCGCTACCCACAAGCAGCTTCACTTGCTAACGCTCTACGCGCTTACACACGCATGCCAATGCTCTCACACTCGCATGACATGAAATGGTACATGACGCGGCAGGGGAAGATCAAGTTTAGTAACTAGAGGGGGACAGCAAACGTTTTGGCCGATACGGCTGACCATTGGGGGGCCAAAGAGGGAGAATTCCGCTGAAAGTGAAGGGGATTTCTGCTTAGCCTAGTAGGAGGGGCAGATAGCGCAGGCTGTGCGCCGACACCCGCCGACTCTGGGGCCCTCCGCCAGATGACTGCTGATGGACTAGGAACGGCCAGCTATCAGTGTAAAGGACGAAGGCGTTTAGCCAGCAGCTGTCCTTCTGGGAAGCAAAGAACCCGCAGTCCCGGGGAAGCATGCAAGAGGTGCCGTGGCTTAGGCCACTAGGCTCAAGATTGGCCCACCCCGGGCCACCCGCGAATAAAGCCAGAGAGCAAGTCCGAGCAGCTCAGCACATCTTAACGCCTGGGCGGGCGGAGCGCCTAAACGAGAGAGCCTAGGCGTAGTGGGAGACAAACGCACTAAGCTGCCTAATCATGGCAAATGTGTGATGTGCGCAGTAGCAACAGGACCCAATGCAATTCCACTCTGCCCACGGTGAAGAAAGTGCGCCGGTACGCACTGAAGGGAATGGAGCCGCGTGAGTGGGGAAACGCGCTTATAGACCATCTCGTGGGGCCGGCTCTAACGTATTGGATGTATCTACAGCGAACTTTCGATCTAAGCGACTGGACGACCGTAAAGCACCGGCTTTTGGAACGGTTTAACAGAACAATGTCACAGAGCGAAATGCTAACTGAGTTGGCTAAAGTGCGGTGGAATGGCAGCCTGAAGGATTACACGGACCGGTTTGCGACAGTAGCGGAGCGGGGCATGAGTCTTACCCCTGCCGAACTCGCGGAATACTACTGCACGGGGCTACCGACTGACCTCCATCTCTCAATAACTAATGACGGACACGTGAAATACCTGACGTGGGAACAAGCGGCGACAGCCGCAACACGGTTTTACGAGCCCAAGCAGAGCGTGCTGGAACTCCGCGAAAGAAACAGTCGAGCCCTTAGGGCTGCCATGCAGGCTAATGGACCCCGTGGGCGCCAGGAAATAGAAAATCGCTCTTGGGGAGCCCGAGGAAACTGTTTTGAGTGTCAGGGTCGCGGACACCCGGCACGCGTCTGCCCCAGCAAGGGGGAACGTACCAAGCGTCCGGGGGAAACCTGCAAGAGATGTGGAGGTGTGGGACACTATGCTCGGGACTGCCCCACGTATGAACGCGGCCTGCCCTAGCCGGTGGACAAGCGCGGTAGAGCGCCCGCCCGTCCTAGTACTGAAACGACGGAGCGATTAAACTTGCGAGCCTAGGTGTAGCTGGAGACGAGCGTTCTAGGCTGCGTAGTCATGGCAAGGGGATGATGTGCGCGGTGGCGACAGGCCCCAATGCCATCCCAGTCTCCCTTGAGAGGAGAAACCAACTCCTCAGCACTGCGGAAGGAACTAAAACGAGCAAGGAGCACGAGGAAGAGACTCGGCCGCTCACGGAAATGCGGTGGAAGTCTGGGCCAACGTCGATCCTGAGTGAGGAGACTCCGGACGCGACGACGAATAACCGCAGGAAGTCTGCGGAGGCAACAAAGGAAGGCCACGGGTCCGACGTGACAGAGATTCTGCCCCACTGGTGGAGGGAGACTTACATGAAAGAGTCTTACGACCAAGGGGGAGCGTTGTGTTGTGTGGGTGCGACGGCGGTACTTCGCGTAGAGCTCGTAGGGAGTCCATGTGAGGCCCTCTTGGATACTGGAGCTTCACGAAGTTTCATTAGTCCCAAAACAGTCGAACGACTGCAGCTGAAAGTGCGGATGCTTCCAAGGGAACATAGGTTCACTGTGGCCACAGGTGCACGACTACGCATTGACCGGGTTGTAACGGGACTGACGTTGTGGTGTGGACACGCACGTTTTTCCGGGGACTTTTTAGTGGGACCCGTCCCCTATGACTTAGTCTTGGGCTTGGATTGGCTGACGGAACACAAGGTGGCCTGGTATTTTCAGTCAGACAAGCTCCGAACCTATGACTTACCGGTCACCACGCTCAATGGCCAGCAAGCCTGACCGCTTCGATGCGACGCTCCACTGTCAAGGTAGCGTGCCCACCCAAAGACCCCTGCAGAACAAGCGTATGAGATACTGGCAAAGCAAGTGGCGGGTATGTCTGCCGAGGAGGCCGCCATATTCTTACGCCCACCTCCAAGGAGGTATAAACCCCACGCGAAGAAGAAGGCGAAGGCGCGGATAACGTCGCTCGTTCGTCAAGCCGCTGAGGACACAAAGGATCTCAAGGCCCCAATGCACGGTTTGCATCTCATCCTGGCCTTGCCCGAAGCCGGTCCGGCAATGCCCCTACGGCTCGCGGACGAGTGGCAAGGCGCGCTCTGCTGCGCATTAATCGGAACTCAACCCGCGCCCTCCAGTTGGAATAGTCCTCCGGCCATAACCGTCGCG